CCTCCCTCCCTCCCTTCCTTCCTTCCCAGCACCAGACTACCTCACTGGAGGGCTTCTAATGTCCTGGCCCCACTGGTGGACCTCCTGATGGCACTGGTATTTCTGGCCACTGTGTGATACAGAGTGTTGGACTGGATGGGCCTTTGGCTTGATCCAACATTGGCATCTCTTATGTTCTTATGTTCTTAAACAGAGTAAACCTAGAAGTCAGGGGATAAGAGACATATACTGGTATGGATCAGACCTGGTTGAAGAGCAGGAAATAGAGCGTAGGGCAGAAAGTGACAGAAAGCAAATCATCCAGTATCATGATGCCCTATGGTTCATCTACAGTTCAGCCACACATGGATTAATGCATACAGTTCCCATCTCCCCATCTCAAAAACGATATTGGTGAGCTAGAAAAGGTGCACAGAACAACAACCATAATTAGGAAAGACCTGGAAAACCTTTCATATGAGGAAAGGCAAACAAATGTGGGAGTTTTCTGTTTAGAATAAAGAGACCGGAGGGGGGGGGGCATGTTTGGAGTCTATAAAATGATGTGTGGGGTGGAGAAAGTGGATAGACATAACTTTTTCTGTTTCTCCCGTAACATTAGAACTCATGTTAACCCAGCTGATGACAATGCATCCAGGATTTACAAAAAGAAAATATTTCACAAGGTACACAAAGTTCTTTTGGAATTCAATGCCAAAGGATATAGTGATGGCCACTGGCTTAGATTTATTTAAAACGGAACTAGATTTATTTACAGAAGATACGATATAGCAATGGTTATTAGTCATGACAGCTAAATGAAACCTTCACCAGTTGCTGGAGGAAGCGGTGGAAGAAGGCTGTTGTGGGCTTCCAGATGTCATCCAATTGGCTACTGTGGAAAACAGAATGGAGTAGGTGGACCCTGCATCTGACCCAAGAGTTCTTATCAGTAGCCAGCTCCTAAGGTCTTGAAGCTCAGATGCTGAGGGACTAAACTTCTTGGAGGCCAGAAATGGCTGGGTCCCTCATTTCCTCCACTTGCCCCAATATAAGAACCTAGCTCCTTGACCTGCTCTTCTTTGTCCAGGCATGAGCATCTACACCAGGGGTGTCAAACATGCAGCCCGGGGGCCCGGATGAGGCCCCCGGAGGACTTCTATCAGGCCTGCAGTGGAACTGGCTGTCTTCTGCTGCTTCTTCCAGTTCTGCTGCTGCTGCGTCATCGTAGGTTTGCAGCTTACAGATACACACCTGAACAGCATACTCAAGATTGCAACAGCACAGACAATTTATTTATTTATTTTTATTTATTTTATTATTTATTTTGATGCAATAATTCAGAGCAAGAGATGTCAGTTATCAGACACTGTTAAATAAACAAAATATTGCAAGAGTGCTAATGTTTTAAGCATGTTTTTAATTTAAGTTAAAAAAAAACCTTTGTGTTTGTGTCCTTTATAAAGTTTATAATGGCCCGGCCCAACAAGGTCTCATTTATGTCAGATTTGGCCCTCATAACAAATGAGTTCAACACCCCTGATCTACACAGTTGCTAGGGAGGAGCCAATGACTGAATGGTAGGGTCCCCGCCTTCCCTCTCCATCCCCATGCCGGCCAGTTGTCTCATGTGGGGCAATCCCAGAGTTAATCAGCTGTCCTATCCTCAGACTTATTGCTCCTCGATCACAAACTGATTTTCCACTATCCCATTCCAGCTGCTCATTCTAAATCTCCTATAGTCTTCCCCCTCCTCATTCTAGTCATTGACTGGACTTTGCAAGCCATCTTGGTGCGGCTCGTGTCAATTCTGTGTTCTCCGTGGTACCTGGCACGTGATGGCATTGTGTGATTTAGTCCACGGAAAGCACTGCTGCGGCTAACGAGAATGACTGTGGTACCATGGCGCCCCCTATTGTCCAACCACTGAAGCGTCCTCTCTTCTTGCTCACAGGGACTTCAATGGCACTGAAGCTGATGTCCAAGGAAAAGACAGGGAGACGAGAGTTCCTGCGGGAATATTGCATTGCCCTCTGCCTTTCCTCACACCGTGGCCTTCTCCGAACAAGCGGCATTGCTTTTGAGACATCTACGCATTATGCTTTTGCACAGGAGTTGGCGCCAGCTGGAGATCTCTGTGCCATCCTGAGCTCAGAGGTAGGAGGAAGGTCAAGTGGTGCTGTGTGGGTCTTTGGAACTAAGGAGCAACTCACAGTGTTGGAGTGCGTTGAGGGGAAGATCAAGACAGACATGATATAGCCCTGACCTGGATAGCCCAGGCAAGCCCGATCTTGTCAGGTCTCGGAAGCTAAGCAGGGCTGACCCTGGCAAGTATTTGGATGGGAGACCTCCAGAGGATACCAGGGTCAGGAGGCAAGAGGCAGGCGATCAAGCCACTTCTCTGAACATCTTCTGTGCCCCAGTAGGAGTCACCAGAGATTGCCATGACTTCCAGGCACAGGTTGCACACACACGTATACACAAATGCAAAAATACACACACACAAAAGACAGACATAATATAATAGGGAACTCACAGAGAGGCTTGTAGCTGTAACATAAACCCATGTTCCTCTTGGTTTCGCTGTTCAAAGGACAAGAAGTATGAAGCTGTGTTATACTGAATCAGACCTCTGGTCCATCAGGGTCAGTATTGTCTGTTCAGACCGGCAGCAGCTCTCCAGGGTTTCAGGCAGAGGTCTTTCACATCACCTCCTACCTGGTCCTTTCAAATGGAGATGCTGGTGATTGAATGTGGGATCTTTTGCATGCCAAGCAGAGGCTCTGCCACTGAGCCATGGCCCTTCCCCCTTTATCAGTACATATCAGTATATGGTTCAGTTTTCATTCTTGCCAATTCCTTCTTTGTGCCTTCTTTGTGGCAGACAGATGCTCAGCATTCATACAGTTATACTTAGCTGTATTGATATGGATACTCTGGAAAGGGTAAAAACAGCTCTAGAACTAGGAGGGGGGGTATATTGAATCAGACACCAGCCAATGAACAACGTCCACAGCCAGCTTCTGTTGCCAAAGGTGTACTGAATTCAGTGAGAGGGCATTTCCAAAGCAGCCTGGCTGTTATGATCTATCTATCTCCTCCCTAAGTGAAATGGGATAAGTCTGTGCCTCTTTGAGGTTTGGGAGCAGGCTGGAAATGAAGATGGGGGTTTAGGGTATTTGATGTATTTGTGAAGGAAGAGGGTTGGAGGCAATGCTCCCTCTAAGCTGTGGAGTCAAGTGAGCAAAACGTCTACTTTCTGAGCTACTGGCATTGAAGTTGTGAGCAAACGATTTGGCTACTGCATAAGTTAGTTTGCTCTGGAGCCACCCTTCCTGAGCTAACAAAAAAATGTGGGGGCCGGAGGCTACAAAACTGAGAGCTAGCTCACACTAACTCAGCTTAGAGGGAACGTCGGTTGGAGGCAAAAGTCAGGGTGGCAACTATAGTTTGTACTAATAGGTGCTGAGAAGAGGCTGATGGCAAGAGCCTTTCAAGGCCCTGTAGCCTACGTGACTGTGCTCATCTTGAACCTTTCCTATTTTTTCTCCCCACAGCAGGGCATTCCAGAGGTGCAGCTGAAGAGGTGTGCCGCCCAGTTGGCTGAGGCACTAGATTTCATGCATGGCAAGGCCATGGTGCATCGGGACATAAAGCTGGACAACGTGATGCTCTTTGACAGCGAGTGCCGGCTGGTGAAGCTGGGTGACTTTGGCCTCACAAGAGTGGAGGGCAGCCCAGTAGCTGCCATGTCTGGCACCCTGCCCTACTCTCCGCCTGAGTTGTGCCTTCTGGAGGGCAACGATACTCTGTCTCTAGACTCCAGCCTGGATGTCTGGGCCTTTGGGGTGCTGCTGTTCTGCCTCAGCACAGGTTGCTTCCCTTGGGACGTGGCGATGAGTCCCGACCCTCAGTTTGAGGAATTTAGTATCTGGCAGAACCGTACAGTACCAGGGGAGGCTCCTGGCCTGTGGAAAGGCTTCACCGCTAATATCCTGGGCATGTTCTGCCGTTTGATGACCATTGACCCCGATCGTCGCAGTCCTGCTATCGAAGTGCACAAGTACTTACACTTGCCCTGGCGGGTGGACAGCTCTGGAGCAACACAGAGTCCACCGGGTGATTGTCTCAAGGGGACAGATTCTGGTGCATGCCTCAGGGGCCCCACAGGGGACAATGCTGACTTGGTCAGTGGCACCCAAGAGAAATGCCCTGGACTGATCACCACTGAAAAAACCCATGCCATACAAATGGATCCTGATCTTGGAAACAAGCCCAGTCTACAGGAAGGCTCCAGATTAGCACAGGCGGGACTCCAGCCCTGAATAGGTTGTAAGGAGTGATGACCAGAATTTTCCCTGACAGGCCACAACGAGCTGAAAAGTTTGAGTCAGGAAGAAAGACCTTAGCAGTAGTCTGACCAACCGAGAGGGTAGGTTTTAGAAGTATCAAGCAACGTAGTGTCACCCCTTCCCTCTAGCTGCTGAAAAGGACAGAGTAGAACTGAGTAGACCTTCTCCCTAAATGACAGGGTTGGTGCACAGTTGGGCAGCAGTGATATCCAGTAACCCAACATGAAATCCTACAGAACAGATATGTTTTGTGTATCTAGCAGGGCTGGCGTAACCTGTAGGCAATAATTCCAGGAGTTTCAGATTACTGGAGGTGATCCTCTAGACAGGGTTGCCGGCTAAGGGCTGGCAACTCTGGGGAGCATGGAGATGGGTGAGACTGCCTAAATGTCATTTACAAGTTTCAGAACAGGAAGTGTGTCACGGTGATCTAGGAATTTTCAAATCCCTACAGTTTACCTCTATTTTTTGCCATCAAGTCACAGCTGATTTATGGTGATCCCGTACAGTTTTCAAGGCAAGAAACGTTCAGAGGTGGTTTGCCATTGCCTGCCTCTTCATAGTGACCCTGTATTCCTTAGTGGTCTCCCATCCAAATACTAACCAGGGCTGACCCTGCTTAGCTTCTGAGGTCCGATGAGATTGGGCTAGCCTGGGTGATCCAAGACAGGGCACACTTTACCACAGAGATTTGAAAATTCCTAGAGAATTGTGATGTCACTTCCTGTTCCCAAACAGGAAGTGATGTCCAGTGTCAATTGGTGCTGTTGTCTTCCTCAAGCTCATCTACTGTTCCACTGAGGCCAGGGGACGGGGTGTGTTAGTATGGGTTTGCCCTCTAGAACTGGGTGTGGCAACCCTATCTCTAGAGGAAATACAGGTCCTACCTACACCGTGATCTAAATCCTGGAACACAACATGAGTTATGAGGGCAAGTGGGCCTCCCTCTCTAGGTTTCTTTCCTGCTGGTTATATTACTCAGCTACACAAAAAAGAGGAAGTAGTCTCTTCCTTCCAATAGGGAGGAAAGGGGGGTGCAGTCAGGAAATTGTTCAGGAGGAAGCACAACTAAAATATGTGAGGGGAGAGGGGGAGAAACAAAACAGAGTTTTGCCTAAGGCTGCAAAATAGCCTGAGTTGGCTCTGGTATCTAGCACAGAAATGTGATACACACATGCTGTACTAATAGATGTCAGTGACTAATGCCAGTGTGGAGCGCTTATAGGGTCTTTGATTTAGTGTGTGCCTCAGGGCAAAGGTTCTGCACAAATTGTAGCATAGGGAGTTTCAAATTGTTCCCTCTCATATATTTGTTTGATTTTTTTATAGGTTTGATTTTTTTAAAAGGTTTTCTTTTTCTTAATTTAATGGTGCATACATCTTCTGCAATCTTTCCTAACGTCTTGGCAACTCACCTCACCCGTCTGATTATTTTGAGTCACTAATAAAGACATCCCCCCCCCCCAATGTCCCCTGGTTCCCACAGTTCCCCCTGAAAGTTCTTTCAAATTTAACACTGTATTAAAAATGTATACTGTTGTTGCAGCTATGAGACAGCCCTAGTATGAGGCATGTAAGGTAAAGGTAAAGGTTCCCTTGCTCGAAAGCCAGTCGAATCGGACTCTAGGGTTGCGGTGCTCATCTCCGTTTCAAAGCCGAAGAGCCAGCGCTGTCCGAAGACGTTTCCGTGGTCATGTGGCCGGCATGATTAAACACCAAGGCGCACGGAACGCTGTTACCTTCCCACCAAAGTAGTACCTATTTATCTACTTGAAATTTCTTGCTTTCGAACTGCTAGGCTGGCAGGAGCTGGAACTAGAGACGGGAGCTCACTCCGTCATGCAGCACCCGGGTCTCGAACTGCTGAACTACTGACCTTCCACAGCCTGCAGTTCAGCATCTTAACCACTTGAGCCACCGCATGTATGTTGCAGTATATTTCAGTTTTTAAAAATGGGGAAGGGTTGCCTGGTGCCCCTCCCACCCCCACCAGCAGGGGATGGGGCATAAGACTGCCAGATTCAGGTTTGGGGAAACTCCTGGAAATTTGGGGAAGGAACCTGGGGGAGGACAGGGACCTCAGTGGGGTATAATGTCATAGAGTCCACCATCCAAAGCATCCATTTTTTCCTGGGGAACTGATCTCTGTAGACTGAAGATGAGCTATAATTTCAGGAATCCCCAGGTCCCACTTGAAGGCAGGCATCCCTATTTGGGGTGCCATAAGACTAGAGTGACAGAGTGGAGAACAGACATAGATGGTCACTTGCACCCCAAATGTCTGTGTCATTTAATTTTTTTGTTTATTGAGGCGTCAAAATGTATACATTTGGAACATTCAGCAGAACTCTGAATCTCCCCCACACAAATCTTCTATACTGTAAACAAAGAGATGTGTAATGCATTTTATTAGAACCAGCCAAAATATCACAAAATCATCTGCATCACAAAACAGCGAGCAAGCTTTTGAGAAGGAGTATTCAGTTAAAGTGTGTGTGTGTGTGTGCGTGAGAGAGAGAGAGGTAACATGGCCTGAAGTCATGTCAAGTTGGAAAATGGAAAATAAGATGTGTTGCAAGCTAAATTGGATTTGGTTACATTATGCTGGGTGCAAAATTGGTTTTCAAAAAGAAGAAGTTGCTGGAACAAAGGAGAAAAAAATGCCCTTCTCTCTTGGTGACGATGAAAGGCGGGTGTGTGACAAATGTCTTTCTAGCACTCACAAAACATGCCACATACAGAGCAATGCACATTAAGAAACCCTGAGAACTATAACAGAGACGTGTTGGACCATAACACCGTAACGAGAGCCCTAGATGGGTGAGACGAAGGATCCATCTGGTCCAGCATCTTTTTGTTTGTCTTGTTTTCTGAGAGTAGGCAGGTAGACATCTCTGACAAACCTCAGCCCTGAAGGAAATAACAATTTTCGACTCCTAAGCAACTGATCTTTAGAGGTACACTGCCTGTGCCCTGGAAATTCCATTAAACCCCCATAACTAATAGATACGTTGTCGCGGTTGCAACCTTTGGAAGCTTCTTCAGAAGGGTGATGGATTTGCTATCTATATAAAAGAACCAAATGATTATTTACAGAGAGCTTTGCGTGTCTACTCTGGAGGTGAGTCCCACTGTATTCAGTGGCTCTTGTTTGTTGCCAAGTAATACAATTTATACTCAGGGTTTGCTACTAGAGTCAAAATCCTAAATTCCAGAAAGTGAACAAAAACCCATGATCTCAACAGTGAACTCCAGAGAATAGGGTCGCACACCCTCAACATGTTTCCTGTTATGCCAACTTCTCCAGGAAATTCCTGGAGACCCAATCCAAGTTATCTACCAAGGAAGTTGGGTGGTTGTGGCTGTGCGTAAGTTCTATACCAGTCTATACAGAGGTCAGATGGCCAATGAAACGCTCGCTATATCCCAGGAAGTGAGACAACACGCTAGGATTAAGAATAAATGTTGTCTTTACTAAAGGTTTCTGCAGTCATACAAAATCAGAATCACACACACAGTTATACAAGCTCCTTAGTTACAATAGTACATCAGAACAATTACAGCATAGAAAATAACAAAAGCATCAAAATGGGGATGACACAATGGGGCACGGCTATACTCATCTGAGGTCCAAGCTGAAGAAGAACTCTCCTCCTTGGAAGGATGGGCAGCCGAAAAGCAGCAGCTTGTGAACTCCAAGGCACACAGGTCGGACCAGCCAAACCACATGTGAGCTCTCTGGGTCGCGACTCCGGAGAACTTAAGTAGTAGAGTCACTTGTAGCACCTTAGTGCACTGCTATGGGGAAGGTGGGTTAACCAGAGAGACAAAGGAGAGTTTCTCCTTAAATAAACTCTTTTTGGGGCATGTGCTATCCAGCCATAAACTATCAAACCCGTCCTCTAAACTATCACTACTGGATGAAGAGGGGGTGACGAGGGGATGACGCTCTACTAAGGGGTGGTGGCAATATGCAGATCCTATCCCTACATCAAAGGTGCCTTTTGGTGAGGTGTGAATCTTCCGTTCCCATGGACACCTCTTGACTTGCAGATCTGGTGCCTGCTCCAAGGCCATAAATGCTATTGTCTTCAGATCTCCAAACCAGATTAGGTGCAGAGGGTTACGTGATTCCTGGCATTCCGGTGATGTCGGGGTTCGCTGGGGGATTTTCCATAACTCTCCAAGTGGGTGCAATGGCGCGGTGTCTCCTCTATCCCGATGCAGGACAGGATACCTTCTCCAGGGAAGCACATGGTCTGTATGTGCAACGGCAGCCCCAGGCCAGCCTATTTCTAGGCAAGCATGAGATGCAGAACAAAGCAACACAACCAAACAGCAGTCCCTGAATACACATTGCATAGACACACACATAGACAGCATCACCACTATACAGAAATGCAAACATAAGTTCATATAGTTACATCCATAACAACCTATTTACAGACAAGGATTTTGGGACCACATAAAGCTAAATCTGAACTAGCTGCTGACCAAAGTCTAGCTTTGGGACATGAGATGAAAATAATCAGGGCTATTTTTGGGCAGGAACACACAGGAATGGAGTTCCAGCTGGCTCCTGAGTTGGCCACGCCCAGCAGAAGCTCATTAGCATATCAGGCCACACCCAACAGCAGAAACGCATTAGGATTGGCTACATTAGGGGTGTGTGGCCTAACATGCAAAGG